GATTTTTCTGCGTCAATATCAAATATAACAAATGTTGATGTTTTAAACACATTATACAGGGTTCCCACGGGTGCTGGAAATCCTTGAAAATGCTTGAAATTTTATGTGGTGTTTTCAAGGTTTAAAAAGTGCTTGGATTTTGGGAATGGTGCTTGGATTTGGGACAAAGTGCTTGAAATTGTAAATGCTTTACTTTTACAATAAATTGCTGTCGCTTTTTAGATTAAAAGAAAAGAAAGAAGTCGGAGCGAGCTTAATTGCTTCGCTTCTACATAAAACAGCTCCGCTCCGTCATTCCCGCGCTATGCGCGTGACCTGCAAGTTTTTGTTTTACGTGTGACCTGGGCATTCTGATGAGAGTGATAGATGACAGTATGCCAGGAAGTTGCCGTTTCAATGATCGTTGGCTAGCAGAAGACAAATACAAGCCATGACTAAGACTTGGATCAACCCCACGAAAAGCCTCCTGCAAAGTGTGCAAAAAAGACTTTCAGTTATTCACGATGCGCGAGTCTGCGCTGACGAGCCACATGAAAGGTACGCCGTAGTAGAGCATTTTGGATTTGGCTAACGTTGCATGTTACGTTTGTTTAAGCTAGTAACGTTAGCAAGCTGAATAGCAAACTCGATCAGGGATAATTGCTTATGCAGGTGACAATAATTTCAGAGGAGCGTACCTATGTCAGTACACCACAGGATGGTTACAGTCGCCATACTGTGGTGTTCAGAGGAGGAAGCACTCACTGTTGTAATTAGACATTAGCTTGTTAGTATGTTGCTATAAATTATAAACTGAGGATTTGACCGCGTCGCTATGGTTGATAATTTTAGAAACAGGCTGTTAAATAAAGTCTTGTAGTATTATACAAGTACAACTACATTTTGCTTTAATCCCACGTAATTGTAGAAGAAACACAGTCTTCCTTTGAAAATGTATAAGACAGGTGTCTTGAGTAGTCAGCATTACCTACAAATCATTGTACACATTTGTAAATATTATTTTCCACTTGTTACCATTGTGAGTCTATTTTGATGCAGCTCTTTTTGTGGCTACAATTCAGGCTAATACGCTACCAGAGGTGGAATAAGTAGATCTTGTACTTGAGTAAAAGTAGAAGTACCAGAGTGTAGGAATACTCTGTTACAGTAAAAGTCCTGCATTCAAAATGTTCCTCAATTAAAAGTAGAAAAGTATTGGTATCAAAATATAGTTATAGTAGCGACAGTAAAAGTAGTCGTTGTGCAGATTGGTCCATTTCAGAATAATATATATGATATGTTTTATAATGATTGATCATTAAAGGTAGGGTATGCAAGTTTGAGAAACCGGCTCGAGATACACTTTTTGTTGTATTCCATGGAATGCTCTTAACATCCCGATAGCAATGAATATCTTAAGTGCTTTGACAAAAAATCCATAAAAAAATGTCATCTGTGGAAGCCGTAGTACTGTAAAAAGCACGACCAATCATTTTAGCCGGCCCGGAGATTTTCTCTGGTTGTGTATTTTCAAATTCTAGCGATCTCGAGCCGGTTTCTCCATTCTTACCTACCCTACCTTTAAAGTGTTCTCAAAGCTGGTAAAGGTGCAGCTAGTTTGAATGACTTTGTATACTGCAGGGTAGCTTGTGAATTTACTCCAGGTGGAAGTAAAGTCTGATTTAACACTTGATTATATTTCACATCATTCATCCACATCTGTAAAGTAACTAAAGGTATTAAATACATGTAGTGGAGTAAAAGTACACCATTTACCTCTGACTTATGTTTACTGCCAACCTAAAAGTACCTCAAAAATGTTAATCAATAATGTATTGAAAAGTTATTTGGCTGATTGTGGTATATCGGCTCAGCCAGGTTATATGGGAGGCCCAGTCTACGTACAGATGGGTCACTCATTTTGAAATATTAAACTAGGTTTCTTTTCTTAAATGTTTCATCCTCATGTAGAATGCTATTACGAAACACACATTTGGTTGTTTATAGCATAAAGAACATCTGATTTAATGTGAGGTAGGGAAATAATCATTTGAGTATAAGTATGTGTATATAAATATGTAATTTACAACAGCTGTAAGGTGCTTGAAAAGCTTGAAAATGCACCTTGAAATTGCTTGAAAAGTGCTTGAATTTGACTTTGGAAAAGGTGTAAGAACCCTGATTATAGCTGGTTGAAAAGAGGGTGTAAGAGTTCTTAAAAGTTCTAAATAAATATCGTCCAGTTAGGAGTCATCGTTGAAATCTATGCTGGCGCTTTCTAGGAAATTATCAATAACAAGTCATAAACCTAATTGCATGCATAGGGTGAACAACACGTTAGCAGAGCAGCAGCTTCACTTCTCCATGGGTGTTCTTCGGAAAAAACTGGTCCGTGTAAGAGACCTGTTTAATCATATGTTTTGATTTATAATAAGAAGTTGACGTGTTTTGTAATTCTTCAATTACTGCAGATGTGTGTGTTGGAGAAAATTACCGGGCTTCAAGCCTCTGTGTTGACAGAGGATGAGCATTGTTTGGACTCTAAGGATGTTACAGTTGCTGTTACCCTCGAACAAGGAACACCTGTGCTGCTCCGATTCTATGTCACCGGAGACTACAGCTCATACTCTGAGACCAACATATTGAATACAGGCAGTGACATTTTTCACATTGGACCTTCAATTCAAGGTATGGAAGAATAACTATGATTCAATGATTTGAAACACTTAACCAACAACAAAATAAAAATAAGATGAGTATTCAATCTACTTAGTTTTCAGCTATGTATTATGTGCAGATGTTATTTATATCAATTAAAGAGGACATCTAATGCTCATTTTCAGGTTCATATTTGTATTATGTGCCTGTGCGATATGATTAAATGTTCAATTCCACTTTTAATCCAATATTGCACCACATTTTTGCAAAACACTACTTAGGTAGTCGATGTTTTTAACATTTTTTACAGTCATTTCATTTTTGGATCTCATAGCGGTCCTAATTTTCAGGTTCATATTGTATTTTGTGCCTCTACTGTGACATGTTTTCATGCTTTAATGTTCAAAAAGCTCTTTATTTTTCTCATACTGCCTGTGCTGCAGCACCTCTTTTCACCCTCTGTCTGAAACCAGAGCCCACTCTACTCTGATTGGTTAGCTGGCCGGCTCTGTTATGATTTGTCAACAGCTTAGAGATGTCCCACCCCCATCGCGAAAATGTGTTGGAGCGTAGGCCAACAGAAACGCCACAGTTACATAGTGATGTCACTATGTCTGGGAAGTAAACAAAGGAGTTAAATCGTGGCGTTTCACAAAGGGGGGGATTGTTTGGGAGAGAAACTCCTTCTGCAAGAATCTGCATTTTAGCCTTTGCAGAGAGACCATTTACATGCACAAAAAGCTATAAAACACACTACAGGAAAGGGAAAACCCAAAGAGCATAATAAGGCCCCTTTAATATTATAAGCAAAGTCAATGTTTTGTTTGCAGGATCTGTACATGTGAAAATCAGAGCATGGAACGCCTTCTCCTCTATAGAAGTGGAAGTGGATACGTTTGCTTTCTGTGGCCAGGAGTCAGTCATCACAGAAAAAGGATATAATGACATATTTTTGAGACTGGTAAACTGTTTTGTATTTACCTCCTATGGTAGTGTTTTATATTTCATTCATTTTTGATTCTGATACTGTATTATTTATACATAATGTGTGTTCATTTTTCTTTTCAGAAAAAAAAACATTTAAGAGTTGCCAGATCTGAAAAAAAACTTCAACAAATTGCATCACCTTCAGAATCAATACCTACCACAATCAAACTTTTCACAAGTGATCCATCAAAGTACAATGACCCCAACAGAAAATATGTGTGGTCATGCAGTGAGAAATGTGCGTTTTCTACTCTTTTCAAGTCAAAGATTAGGTATTAAATGTATTGAGTTTAAGTTTAAACTTTTTTTTTAGATGTTGTTTATGTGTTGGTTGAGTGTACTGAACTTCAATGTTCAGATAACAAAAGGTGTAAACATTATTGTAACGTTTCTGACAGATTTGGCTTGTATTTGATTTGGACAAAGTCATTTATTACAAAATATATATCTACACCTATATCAGCCTTTTTATTTATATCTGCATGACAATTGTATTTGCAGTAGAGTAATCACTTTTTTTTTGATTCACAGTGAATCCCTGTCGAGAATTTGAGGGGCTGGAATTTGAGGGGCTGGAATACATCATTCAAGGAGACTGCCTACCAGCCCCTTTTCAATATTATAAGTATTATTTTAAGGAGCTAGATAGGAAGGATAAAGAAAAGAAAAAGGAATTAATATGCGTCACCTTTACCCTTCCGCTGAACAAGCCATCTTGGCTAAGGTACTTTAAACTGATCTGCTCTGATCACTAAGAGCATTGCACCTGACCTCTCGTGTGATTTTGAACCTTGTTTACTTATAATACAAATCTGCCAAAAAAGGTGGAAATGAATTTATGACAACTTTGACTTGTATTGGAACAAATGAAACTGCGTTGTAAGGAAGTTAACATACCTCACTGGTTTAAGAGCAAAAGCTGTTTTTTGAAGATAGAAGATATTTTTCACGGTAGACATTTCAACTTGTCATAGTAGGAAGAAACCTATTTAGGCTCAGGTCCAATGGAATGTAGTCAATTCTAAAGTCACCATGTGCTTTTACCACTATCACAAGCTAAGATGTCCACATTTCAAAAACGTCTATTATGTACATTGTGAACATAGTAACATACATGTATGTTAAGCAATTAACTCAAATGAAATTGATTATCAGTCATAGAGTACAGCGAATGTATCAATAGGTTATTGTTTTATAATATAAACATATGGTTTTATCAGATAGCAATTTAATTTAGATGTAATCCTTCTTGGTATGTGTTGACCAAGTTTTTCTCATTGTTTCAACACAGTTTCAGTTGTACTCAAGGCTGTAACCCAGTAACGGACAAAACAAATGCAATAATTAAAATGGCTTGCTCAACACACACGTGTCCAATGGTTCTGTGGAACATTGAGGCCCCAAAGGAAAAAGGCCAGTGGCTAGTGAGTCTGACATATTATTTATGAATTGTTTCAGAGAAAGATCAGATACTGTTAAATATTGTAAGTAAAGTATTTGTGCATGTTCATTTATTGACAGGATGAAGTTAAAGACATCCATGAGTGCTACAAAGAAACAAAGCGACTTATAAATCCACAGAAAGGCGGGATTGAATACACTGTGGACCATAAGTTTATTAAAAAAGCTAAAAGAAAACAGGATATCACTGTGGTGATAACCTCTGGTACGTAAAGATCAGTCAGTTAGATAAAAGTAAAGCTGCTATGTTTTTGGTTTATTTGTCCGTAATTTTGCAAAATTGGTCATAAAGCTGGTTTAATGAGTTTGAAAAGTTTTCTCATGTTTATTTGTTAACTTGGGAACAAAGTCATGCAAGAGAATTATTCCACACCATGGCAGAATCACCAGTACTATTTTAATGAAAATGATTTTAATTTCTTAGTTTTGACGATTTAACAAACTTGTTTTCCCAAAATACCACCTATATTTGTAATTGTCCTTTTTTTTATACACAACAGTGGATGTCAATCTCATTTACACAACATTCATCGTAATTAAATCAACGACTCCAGATCCTGACAACCAAAATCCAGAAGCCACAACAGCAGGAAATGGAGACGGTGCAACAAACCCTGCTGGTCCCGCCTCTACATCACCTGCCACCATAAGTCAGAGTTCTACCATCCCTAACAACCCTACCACTGTCGGTTCCACCTCTACATCACCTTCCACCATAGGTCAGAGTTCTACCACCCCTAACAACCCTAACAACCCTACCACCATCGGCCCCGCATCTACGTCACCTGGAACCATAAGTCATAGTTCTACCACCCCTAACAACCCTACCACTGTTGGTTCCGACTCTACATCACCTGCCACCATAGGTCAGAGTTCTACCATCCCTAACAACCCTGCCACCGTTGGTCCTGCCTCTACATCACCCAGCACTTTAAGTGGCACCACCATCACCCCTTACAACCCTACCACACTTACAAACCCAATCACCAATGATCCTGCCTCAACAACAGCTAGCTTTGTTAGCAACAGCAATACCAACCCTAACAGCCCTACCTCACCTACTACCCCTTACACCAATGGTCCTGCCACAACATTACCTGGCACGATGGGTGACAACACTGCCACACTTACCACTGCTAACCCCAGTGATACATCTCCATCAGCAACCAACGACAATAATAACCTTAAGTGTATTACATCACCGGAAAGTGGAACTATACTTGATGCTTTCAATATAACTTGCACTACGGAGATTCCTTGTTCTAACTGTCAGTATTGTTTTAAGACTCAAGATGGTAAGTCATCCAATTTATATATCAAAAGGACAAAATAATCAAATTTCCAGTTATTATAAATAAACTGTTTCTTTCTTGTTTTGAAATTGTTAGGTAAGCACCTTCTATGCAGTAATACCAATGAAGTGAAGTCGGCCTTTCTTCCACTTGGAAACAGCAGTTGCAACTTCACCCTGATTATCAAAGCAACTGCAAAAAATAGCAGCTATGAAGCTAACACCACTATAACTGCAGAGGTTTGTCAAAAATCGTGCCAAGAGAAGAAATAATCTTTCTTAATGTTTCAATACCAAATATGTTCTTTCCTTCCCAGGTACTGGATTACACAGAAAATGACACCTCTTCAGTAGATGGTCTCAAGGTTGCAGTGGATAAGGCTGTGGCTCTGCTTAAGAAACAAGGTCTACTATCAGGACAAAATGTTGGACAGATATTTAGTTCTGTGTCAAAGAAACTGAACAGTCAATCTGATGAAGCGAATAAAGCTAATAGGCAAAAGGTAATTGCACTCTCAGATTACAGGCACATCAAAACAAAATGTGTGTAGACATTGTCTTGTCTGCAAAAATGTCTGATGAATTATTCATGAGTCCAATGTTGTACACAGTTACATTTAAATTGAACACATTTCACCATCTCTGAAACACATCAAACAGAGAGAAATGTTTCACAGGATATAAGAAATTGCTCCCAAATATTATTTCGAAAATAGGGACAAATTAGGTCAGGGTTATGATTGTATGTTTTTGTCTTCACTGTCACTAAATGGCTGTTGTATTTGCAAATGCTGGTCTTAGCTTTTGACCAAAAAGGCAAATTGTGCTTACATGAAACAAATGCAAGTTATTTATGGGTCTTGTTGTGTGTTATTAGCTAGTTGTCTAATATTAGCCTCTGAAGCCGAGACTAAAGACCTGTGTGCAGTCAGCAGGGTAAGGGTTAGAAGTTACCCTAACCCTAACGGCCCGTCCACACGGCGGCGTGCGTTGAAGCTTCAATGCTTCTGCCCATTCACTTTGAATGGGGTGACGTCACGCTTTGCCGAACTGCATTGTGGTTCCGTCGCTTCGCTTTGCTCGCGTTGCTCGCTTTGCTCGCGTTGCTCGCTTCAAAAGTTGAGCAATGTTCAACTTTTGAAACTTCGACGAAAGCGTCAGCCAATCAAATCATATGCCAGTACAAGCTCTAGCCAATCAAACCGCATGCTTGTGTGTGCGGGGCGGGAGATTCATGTGATTGGTTGTTGGTCGAGTTTCAGACACGCCTACCGGCAAGCTTCAACACACGCCGCCGTGTGGACGCTGCGTAATTTGTACAAGATCTTGTTGTCTTATTACATTTTAAATGCAGAACAAGTGACCTGAAACCTTCACTGGAACTGAGCTGAGCAATGTGAAAACCATAACGATCAATCTAACATGCACTTTACCCAAATGCCAAATTTCATAACAAAAACTTGAGCCGCTAAACCAGTGGTGGGGAACCTTTTTCCTCTCAAGGGCCATTTACATTTTTCAACATCCTCCGAGGGCCGTACAAATTATTGACCTCTGCTTAAAAATACTAAAATCACAGCCCATTCATTTGGCCTTTCTTTCATGCTGTGCAAAGAAAAAGCAACCTCTTAATCCAGATATCTTACCATGACTCGCGCATGCATGCACGTGCACGGTTGTGGCATGACCACCAAAACAGAAAGATATGGACACAAGATGTGTGCAAATGTATTTAGTTTCTTATTCATGTGGACATGATTTAAGTGGGGGGGGGGACCTAACCTCCTCTAGGGGGTCCGGGGGGCATGCTCCCCCGGGAAGATTTTTTTTTAAATGTTGAAGTTAAAAGCATCAATCTGGTGCACTTTGAGAGCAACATTAGGAGATCTATGGATACATCTCTCAACACCCATATGAAACAGAACTGTAAGCAGATTTTCTTTATGGATATTTTACAAATCACTCCCCTTTTAAACTGTATTCTTGTTTATTAATAACTTTTTACTGTCATATAGTATTTTATACCTGTTTACTTTATTCTCTTATTTTTTTATAACTATAATGATCATATAAAGATGTGCTTTTACCTCACTGGTTGGAGAAAAAGCTTCTTACTGTATATTCGTTAGCATAGCTAGCTAACCAGATGCTAATAACAACAAAGTTATTGACTGTATGATCAGTATGACAGATGAACAGATGCCACTGGGCTTTCAACTAAAGACACAGCCACTCAAAAACTGCGGCATGTGTACGGCTCCTTATGGGTACTGCAATTTGTGAAGTCCCGGCTCGGAGCGGCGTTCTGGTGCTCTCCTGCAGAACTGCACCCCTGTCAGACGGGACATATACCACGTGATGACACGTTAGGCTCGTGTTGTGTTCAATGACCCTGACCTAACCCAGGAAAAACAGGCACTCGCTTGTTTAATTTTTTTGAGGTCTAGATTTCTTAATTTCTTTTTTTTTGCGTGTGTTTATAAATTACCTCGAGGGCCGTACCAAATGGTCTCGCGGGCCGTATACGGCCCGGGGCCCGGAGGTTCCCGTCCCCTGCGCTAAACGAATGTAATTACCAATGAATTACATTTTCAATCTTCTTGCCAAACTGTTTTTGTAAAGTCATGATATTTGAGGTTCAGTGTTTCAGCAATCCGTCACTGTGGCAGAAACCCCTGTTCAAGCCTTGTTTAAGTAGAAAGTTAGTAACCTAAGAGAAACCAACAGAGGCAGTGTGCCCTGACATGGCTTAATTCTTCTACATTCGTTTAAAATATATCATAATAGTACATTAAATCACAAACGATTTATTGCTTTTGTCTGTTAAAGCTTCGCGAGGAGATGATGGCCATTATTACTGATACAGTAAAAGAAGTTCCGACCCAAACTCCGGAAGGAATTCAGGTGATAGCCAGAGGACTTGCTGCTCTCGTCCAGAGAGGCACTGAACTCAGCTCCTCTACTCAGGTATTGTCTGGTTAAACTGATGCAGGGTAAATTATGCGATGATAGGAAGGTGGGAATTAAGCAGTCCACTGCTGCTTTCGCTTAGGTTCACTTAATTAAAGTGAGATTACAGAAGAAATTGTTTCTTCTAACATAAAACATATCTATCTAATTTCGAGAATTGATTCCCACCCCCAGGAGAATGCATCAATATTGCTTGCAGACCTGAGCTCATATCTCCTACACATGGATGTGTACCAAAATGGAGAAAATGTGAATGAAATACAGGCTGCAGCCAGCACCATTGTGGAAGGAGCAAGCAATATCCTAGATTTTCCTTCCAATGTGAGTTTGACCTTAGACTGTTACGGTTGGGATTCACTTCTCTAATACTTCAAGATTGTGTAACTGAAGTGTATTGATTACTGTCTCTAAAAGTGAAAAAAGACCATAATGCTGCAACATATTAGTTTGTCTTGGGCTAAAATGCAGTCAGGAACAATGAGTTAAGAGACCAGGAACGTGGCCAGTGATTCTTCACTCATTTACATCTTGTCTGAATGCAAATTTGCAGATGAGTGATTTGTTTTGTTTTTCAAACTCTCCTTTGTCTTACATTTAATAAATGTTCTATCCTTTGCAGAAAAATGTCTCTGGTGCACTTCTCCTTGCTTTGAGCAATACACAGAGTGCACTGTTAGCATGTATGGGTGATAACGAGGGTCCGACTATCATCCAACAAGCTCATATTGGTTTGTTTGTTAATAGGTATGTACTTTTACATTTTTTATAGAAGGCACCCAGTCAAAAGAAAACTCCAACACACTTCAACTTGTGATTTAAAAAAACATCTGGTTGATACGTGCATTTTAGAGGTGCTGATTGACTAAATGTTTACCTTAGGATAGAGTTTAAGGGATAGGCTAGCTATTTGTCCATGCTTCGTTTCTTTATGCTTAGCTAAGCTCAGCTAAGGCATTTGTAACCACTGTTTATAAGTGTACATCCCTTTACTGGGAGATTTTTTTTAAAGTTTAGTATTAGGGGCAGAGGTGGGGACTCGAGTCACATGACTTGACTCGAGTCAGACTCGAGTCGCATATTTTTTGACTTGAGACTTGCTTGACTAACATTGATAAAAGACTTGACTTGACTTTGACTTGGTATTCATGACTTGAGACTTGACTTAAGCTTGAGACAGATGACTTGAAAGGACTTGTCTGTTTAAAATTAAATATTTGCGTTTGTTTTTGTAGTGAGATATTACGTTTAGTTTTTTCGAAAAACGTGATTGGGTGATTATAGCGCCGTGCGCGCAAACCTGGCAACCCACTAGAAGGCAGGAGTGTCAGTTAACATGGCAGCGGCTAGCGTTACTCCACAAATAGTGAAGTTTGGATTCAAGGATTATGTTGTCGATGACGATAATAAGAAGAGAACAGCGGTATGCAGGGTCTGCAGCATAAAGATCAGTGACACGACCACCACAACATCCAACTTCATTCGTCACTACAAAAAAACCCACAGAGAAAGGTGCGTGAAAGCTAACGTTAAGTTTAAGCTACGTTAGACTTGGTTTAAAATTGATTAAGCATTGCAAAGAGAAGACAAAACGGTAAATTAACACTAGAACCTCCAAGGGATTCATTTGTACTAACCCCGATACTGACGGGCTGTCAGGAGAGGGAGAGAGAGAGAGAGAGGGAAAGAGATGCCTCTTTATTTCCCCTGTGTTATTATCAGAAGTTAATGTACACTTTTGAATAATGTAGTTCATCTGCTTTTAGTAGTTTGTATAAATGTTTTAATTATGTTGTTTTTGTTTGTAGAAGTGCATCATTCCTTGATTTATTGTAAAATGAATCTGAACTTTTTGATCTGTTATGATGATAAACTGAAGCAATTTCTAAATTAACCCAATTAACTGAGTTTTAAATCGTCCTACTTAGTTTATAAGGAAATTATGAAGAGGAACAAATTAAATGATTTGCAAATGATATCTATGTAGGTGCTGACGCTGTTGGCGGTTCTAGTGTTAACAGAAATGTAAATTAAATATGTGTAATGGCAAATGCCATATATGATTTTCTTACCTGGAATTCTGCCTTTTTGAACAGACTTTCAAGTCCTAGCTATATTGTCTGCAGTTCTGGGGTTAATATGAATCTAATATGATTGTCATCGGTCTAAATTAGATTTCAAATGATTAACTGTGTATGTAATGAAGATCATAGTGTGGGTTAAATCCATTTTCATAACCACTGTCTTTTAACTGATTTAAATGTGGAAACTGGGCTTATTCATCAGAATTTCGTATGACTTGACTTGACTTGACTTGACCTGAGCAATGACTTGACTTGACTTGCTTGACTCTCACCACAGTGACTTGGGACTTGCTTGATACTTGTAGGTCAAGACTTGAGACTTGCTCATGACTTGCACATGTAGGACTTACTCCCACCTCTGATTAGGGGGTGTCATTAACTGTAAAAAAATATGTGAGTGATATTGTTTTTTAAAGTTGAACTTTAACTGTAGCTGAATGGTGGCGATAACCTCAATAACACCCATTTTATCAGCTAATAACATTAATGTGGGTTTAAATAAATATTTATTGTGGGGGCATGTTCCTCAAAGAAAAAAAAAAGGAAGTATAACTGATTATAAATTAAACTTACTTATATCAGCATGTTATCTCTCTCATCTTTTCCCTTAGATCAACTCTGAGAAGTTTGCACACAGAGTCTATATCTATTCCCAACAGTTACGGTCCCACATTTTCTCTCCCCGCGCTTCCCTCTAATATATTGCCTTCAGATGAACCTGTGGATGTACGAGTAAGTCAGAAATGTTGATGTGTACAGTGTGTGTTTTTGTGTGAATGTGGGATTGTGGGCTGTCTCCAAATCAGTATTTTCAGAGACAGCACTTCAAAACGATGCATCTACTCAGTGGTGAGGGGGATACATCTTCTGTATTTTTTACATACATTTGTGCGTGTAGTCAAGTCAAGTCTTATGTAGTTTTATTTATATCGCACATTTTCCTCAAGGGGCTACATTGACTCATGTTATTTGATATTAACATTATTACTGCAGAATTTCTCTTGTCAATACACCCTTCCTACGGTGTGAAAATATTTTCTGCTAAGTAAGTATGAGTTTAGCACACAGTCAGAATCCGCAGCCAGGACTAAGTTCTTATGAAGTCAAGTTCGAAAAGTGACTTGAATGGCAAAATTGCGGGAGGCAGTTGCTCAGTCTGTAGGGACCAAAGGGTTGCCGATTCAATCAATCACTCAAAATGCTTTAAAGGTGTCCTATCGTGCAAAATGCACTTTTTGATGTATTTTGTACATAAGTATGTGTCCCCGGTGTGCCAGGGAACTCACAAAGGGTCAGAAAATAAAACCCTCTCTTTTCCTCTGTACCCAAATCTCAAAAAACGGGGGTACAACGGAGCTGATGGGTGATCTAGTATTTTGAGCAAAACACATGATAGACATGTTTTTCTATTTTTTTCTATATCTGAGACCCATAATATTTGCCTAAAAATAGCATGATAGGAAACCTTTAATAATCCCAGGGGGGAATTCTGTTTTGTGACAGTTGCACCATATAAGAATACATATTTTATTAAGTAAACATTAATAAATAAAAGTCCTTGTAGCCACTCAGGACATAGCGCCTTAGGCACAGGAACAAGGCAGGACGTCCTCCACAGCACAGGGACTCTCTGAAGACTCAGGCTTATGAAGTGAAGACATGGTGAAGCTCTCGGTGCAATCCTTGTAGGTAACCATTGAAGGAACTGTGTGGAAGTGTTGTCGATGGAAACATTGTCGTCAGATATATCCTGGTGCAGCCATGTTTTGAAAAGCACATTCAACTACTCACCCCGTCAGCTCATCCATTCCCTTGCTAGTGATATTAAGTTGCCAAGGATGAGACGGGGGAGACACGGCTTATATCTAATTTCTCCAGTTTATCCTGCATCCTCTGTGTCCTTCAGATTTTAGTTGGGATACTCGTTATTCCGACTAACATGCTAGCCAGTTTTAACGTATTAGCTTCTCTCCGCTGTAAAAAATGCACAACGGGTTGCTGCACAGCAATGGTGTGATGTACAACAGCAGCAAAAAAAAACCTCTACTACTCTACAAAAGTAATTTCCACTAATCGAAAAATAACAATCCCGATAAGAACAAAATACAGAGTGTGGACTGGCAGCCAGAGAGGTTCCACTCTGGGCTGTTAACATGGCAGCCTCTTCACTGTGACACCTCTCCATTAAAAAAACAAACACATGTGAGCGCATGTGTGTTGATATCTGAATTCCCCCTTGAGAGATTGATAAATTGGCCTCTCCTTTCATCGACCTAGTGTATTGAGTTTTAGGGGGCTAGATGGTGTGTATGTTAGATTTGATGTTTTTCTCAAGTTTTCTAACCTTTCTGACCTGCTAACAGGGTTTCAACCAATGTTTCGCTATACGTTTACAGATGCTAAGTATAGACAAGAACCCATTTGCCTGGCATGAGGGAGGGAACATCAGTGGAGTAACAGCTGCTCTATCTCTCACAACAACAAATGGCTCTAGTATCGCTGTGGAGAACTTAAGTGAGAATATTAAGGTCAGTGCAGCATCTGAGAATTGCTACTAAGTAAATCTATAGTAGTTTTATGCAGAATAGCCCATTTCAGAATCTTATATATTATAGAAGTTAATAATATTTAATGATGCATTCATCACCATTGTTGAAGCAAGTCAAAATAAGGCTGATTGTATTAGTGTTATCTTAACCTATACATTTATATCATATTATCAGTTGGGATTTTGTATTTTATAATCTAAATCTGTAAAGTAACTAACAAAAGCTGTTAAATGTAGCGAGTAAATAGTATAATACTTGCCTATGAAATGTAGATGACTTAACGAACAATGTAGTAGAAAATGGAGATACTAAAGTCAAATACAAGTAGCTCAAATTATGCAGAAGTAAATTGTAAATCAATTTACTTAGTTATTTTCCACCAGTGTGTATCTATATGAATATCTCATTAACAGTTTAGTTGCATATGCACATCAGAGGGGTTATGATTAAAAATATTGTACGTTTTTCTCTGTTAATGTAGTTCATATTAACTGACCTAAAAACAGTTCATATAGCATATTAACTGACCTGAAAAACAGTTCATATAGCTCCATACAAAATTGTGGCATCTTGTGTTTTTCTCTTATATCTTATATTTATTTCATCTCCCCTTAATTTTTTACAAAACACAGCCGGCTGCATAAGAATAAGAGATTATTTCTCATCCTACTTTGCATCCAGTGCTACCCTGATCTGATGCATGTTCAAACCATAAAACATTATGCAGTGTGTTCTTTCAATAACAACTTTCTTCCAATAACAAGAAAAATAACCCAGATTTGTACCATTATAAAGCCACTTTAGTGAGACCAATAACATTGCATAGCAAAGTGTTTACAATAGAAGACAGACAGAAAGTCTACAGTTTGTTATGTTGGTTATTTCTTTCATTACCACACATTAAAATGCTTTGGATCTATTTTCTGGCAATTTCCCCGGTCCCCAGATTCTGTTGCCAAGGCCTGTTGGAGAGCAGGTGAACACCTCATTTTTAGACCTGGGGAACTTCAGCACAACAATCATAGAAGTTGCTTCAGCTGACTCTACGCTGGTTTTAAAGGTGCCGTAAGATGTTTTTATTTTGTTTCTGAGACGAGTGATGAGAAAGAATTTTCACTTTACTTTGACAGCTTAAATTGTTTTATTCAAGTGGCTGTATTACTACCCCTTTGTGCAACCAATACAATTTCACTAACTATCTGCTTTAACAAATGTTCTTTTTGATAGTCGTGGCATTTTTCTTCAATGTTGATATCATAAGGGTAAAAAAATAATACACTGTGTTTTAAATATGATTGTCGTGTTCTGGATGCTCTAACTATGTCTATTAAAGATGGTGCCCTCCAATGATCCTTTACCGTTCAAAATCCTCCTTGGTTATATGGACTTCCCAACTGAAACAAATAATGTTGCGATGACGGAGATGCCTCACGATGGTGCAACACAAGGTAATACATCCCTGCTTATTGATGGGTGACTTTTATGCCTTATACATTTGATTATGTATCCATTTATTGATTACTTTTGAATTTGTCTAATACAGAGGAGAGATACACTTGGCTACTAGACCCCAACGATTTAAAGGGAAACACTGGAGTGCACTATCTTGTAGTTAGGCCCATTGTAGGACCGGGTATAAAATCCATCAATGCTACTTTGTCAATTACGCCCATCAGTGCTGCATGTAGATTTTGGGACGAATCCAATTTGGATTGGAGCACTAATGGATGCAAGGTAAGTACAGTGTTTCAGTCTTCCTGTAATGTGTAAAATGTTTCCAAAACTTTGAAGACAGTAAAAGTTGTTGGTGTCTTTCAAGGTTGGTGTTCACAGCACACATTTGGTCACAGAGTGCCTCTGCAACCACCTCACCTTCTTTGGGAGCTCTTTCTTTGTCACTCCCAACCTCGTTGACCCGTCACGCACTGCTGAGCTGTTTGCAACTTTTGCAGAGAATCCTTTGGTTGTCTGCTTTGTTGCATCACTCTTTGGGGCCTATCTCTTGGTGGTTCTGTGGGCCAGACGGAAAGACATAAAAGACACAGTCAAGGTACCAGATTAAAATTCAAGAATAAATTAAAACTGCCCAAAATGTAATCCCAGCCCAAAAAAACATGTTGTTGGCTGGTTGGCAGGTAAAATTGACGGTGCTTGGCGACAACGACCCCATGGATGAGTACCGCTACCTGTTGAGTGTCAGCACTGGGCATCGGAGAGGAGCCGCCACTTCATCTAAGGTAAATATGCCATCAGTTCATAGGAAATAATGTAACGCTTTGTAGAAAAGGCTCTGCTCTTTAAGCAAATATTATGAATAGAATAAAGATTTCTGATGCGATACACCCCATTTTTAGGAATACATTACCATAAATATTCTCTCAGAAAATTGTTGCAGAATCTGTAGGAAACGGGATAATACATTTCAGTTTGATTGTCAGAGTATTATGAGCACGTCTGATCGGGCTTTGGTTGAATACAGGTAAACAATCCGTGTGGAGAGTGAGAAAGGACGCATCTCTTTGATAGTGACTGATGTCTTGGTTCTTCATTTTTCTAACCTTCACTCAGGAAAATAATTGATCTTATTGAGTAAAGTATTACCATGTTGACAATGAAACAATGTAGAAAAGAAAATCAGCACAACAAGAGACATAAAAGGAGAGTGAATATTGAACTTTTGTAAGATGGTGAAAACATTTCTCCAAATGAATGCTAATGCTGCTAACACGTTATCTGTAGCAACTTTCTTTGTCGAGTATGACATACTAACTAAGAAGGTTCGACAAAAAATGTTTCACCGTAAATAAAAAAACAAATTACAGTTTGGAACTAAATTATACTAATATGTTACTTTATTATTTAAAAATAAACATGTTAAAGAACTTATTCAAATGTTCTTTAACATGTTTCTTCTGTCTCTCTTTGTTTCTTTGATAACTTTTTTAAGTTCAACCCATATTCAAGGCTGGCTATGCTGAGTGTTTTAGAATTTTCTAAAATAGTATTTTTAAATATCATCGATTATATTTTGTCCTGTACAATATGCTGTTGCATCATTCTGACATTTAACAATTGCACATCTTCAATCTATTTTAAAGGCTAAAGTATATCCAGTCATATTGAAAGCAGTTTCACTAAATAACTAACTGATTGTGTTAAGAGTAGGAGAATAAAATATAAATCATTATTTATCATACATTTCCCAATTTGGGATCAATAAAGTACATCTTATCTTATCTTATCGTATTGGTCATTAGGGCTAGGGTTGCAGCCCTAACCCCCAACCCTCCATTAACCTGTTTGCATTGAAGTCAAGTGGTTGAATATCACCTTTTGTTCTTCGCAGTTTTAAATAAAGCGTACTGAACTGTTTTAGGTGATAATCACACTGATGGGTTCAGAGGGAAGCAGTGAACCGCATCATCTAACGGACTCGAAGAAATGTGTGTTTGAGAGAGGTGCGGTGGATTTGTTCCTGCTAACTACGCCCTTTCCTCTGGGAGACCTGCAGAGCATCAGACTATGGCACAACAACTCAGGGAGCCATCCTGCCTGGTACGCCAATTTACAATTGTCAGGACCACTGAAAAGACATCCTAAATATATGTCATTTTCACTTCATTACAAGCTGTAATATAGGCCATTGAATTCCTCTGAATGTTATGACCTACTGTAGAACACAGTGCACATGGGACATGATGTAAGTACGATAAATATGATAAATGATACTGACCTTGCAAAGGAGTACTTGCTCTCTCCTACTCTTTTGTTGTTGAGAATTACTTTCCGGTTTGTTAAGTGTCTTTTGATGTACTTTGCTCAAGGAGGATTTTGTTTGTTTAAAATGTTAACATTCCATCTTATTTTTCAGGTATGTCGGCAATGTCATGTTGCAGGATTTACAGAAAGAGCAGAAATGTCATTTTCTTTGCAACTCATGGCTGGCCATAGACATTGGTGGTTGTTCCCTGGATCAAGTCTTTCCTGTTTCAACAGAGGTGGATCTAAAGAGGTTCAGGTGAGGTTAAATCAACAGGGTACTGAGCAGCAAACACACTGTTGATGTTTTGAAACAGGGAACTTTGATTGTATTTGGAGGATAAGAGGAATGATAAATTGCAAATGAAATGAAATTATTTTATCTCAGATAATGTCAAATTCACAGAATGCTCTCTTTTTTGAAATATTACAAAACCCACACACCAGCAGACAGAATACAAAAATAAAATAAAATAATTCTAACCCAGGTGGTCCTCAGATTTACGTGTTGTGTTTTTTTTATTGCATTATTGCCAAGGACTTAATTGTTAATTAACATGCAAAATTAGTCAAATTCAACCTTAAAGGCTAAATAAATAAACCCCTTTCAGATTCAAAAGGCAATTAAAATGAGTTAGAGGAAAATGCAAATAAACAGAAGACAAGTGCTAGTTATGCCTGATCAAATCACTTCACACACCAAGTCTAACATTTCAGAATTGTGTGTGTTTTATATGTTATGCCTTGTTGGAGGCTGAATTGAGGCAAGTTGATCTGAATTGTAAGTTGAACTGAATTGTGCTCAAAATGTCTATGGCACGGTGAGGTATGAAATGGCAGAAGAAAGATTTCAAGTAAAAAACGTTCCTGCCTTTATAGAGACAGGAGAGGCTGAAGAGAAGGCAGGCTTATATTTGATCAACTATTATACTTGTTTTAAAGACAACAAAAGAAAATGTTTACCGTTCTAATTGAATTTTACACATAAAACAACAAATGCTGCAGAAAAACGAAATTCAATGACCCTGGGTAAGAATGCTTGATTATTAATTAATCATGTAAATTATAGTGTGGACTGTACAAATAAAATGCACACAAACATTTACGAGAAAAAGGTGGACAAACATTCACAATCAAAATCCTAGTCACCACAGGAAGTTTCTGTGGATTTACAAAATATTTTAGCTCCGAGCTCAATATATTTATATTGACACTTTTCTGCATAGCATTTCCTTCCTTAGCTGTACTAATAAAGGCAGAAATATCCCCAAAAATTCATATTACAATGAATAAAAAACGTGCATATCATTCATTCAATAAACTCATACACTGCAAAAAGAAAAAAACAACACATTTCAAGATATAACCAGGACCTCAACTGAGAATGGGGAACATATATTTTTCTTATAGTCTTAAATAACGTTTTTGGACTCAATTGTGTTTAATAAGAGTAGACCTCTTGTTATATTAACCCTATTATTACCTTCGTATTATTAGAAGATGATGATTATCATAATACCCATATTGAGAAAAGCACATTCAGATTTAAATTCATGTACAGCATCTTGTTTACTTACTATCAATAAGCAGGAATGAGAAGGTTACTGACGGAAAACTCTTAGCTGATGGCGTAGTTTTTTTTGGTGTATGGCCATGAAGAATATGCCTTTAGGTGCCTTATAATACTTTAGGTATTAATATGCAATAGGTGAGCATTTGATGGTTGATAAGTGTATCTTTTTCTAAATTTTAACCAAAATGTGAAGGAAGGTTTTAGGTTGTTTTTCTCATAGCGTTATCCCTTTATTTTTTAGTAACTTGTTCTTTATGAAGACTTCAAAGGATTTCAGTGACGGACACCTCTGGTACTCTGTGATCAATCGACCACCGAGCAGCAACTTCACCTGTGTGCAGAGAGTTTCCTGCTGTTTCACCCTGCTGCTCTGCACCATGCTTACCAGCGTCATGTTTTATGGCATCCCAACAGATCCCTCTGAGCAGACCATGGACATGGGTACAACACATTTTTAATAAAGTCAAGTTTACTGTCAGAGCTTTGAAGACATTTTCCTGACCTGGTTTTTTAATGTACTCCTGTGTACATAGGACCAAACAACACAATTACTAATTAAATATGTTTTTTAAAACAAAATACATCTTTATATATTTGTGGATGAAAACAAATGTTTGAAAAGATATGCGAATTTCAAGTACATGTCTTTATCTCTGACTCTCGCTCTCATTCTCCTCAGGTCTCTTTGAGTTTACATGGCAACAGTTCATGATCGGAGTACAAAGCTCCCTCATTATGTTTCCTGTTAACATCCTCATTGTAAGCATTTTCCGAAACACACGTCCCAGAGAAACGTCTTGTTGCAAGCGCAAAACAGAAAAACCAGATGCAGAGCAGACGTTTGTCTCTCCAAGTAACACCAACAACATGAGTGTCAATGTCACTTTGGACACTGTCATTATGGTAGGTGCTTCATGTGTTTCATGTGATAAGTATAGCTATTCAAAATATTGACCCTTAAACATGAACATTTATGACAAAAGCGTGATTGAGTCAATAATTTGTCTCAAATTCATGTGAATTGCGTCCATATATTGTATATTGTATGTCATTTAATAAATAGAAAACACCTTTGTATCTCAATATGTTCTTCCTTAGGATATAAAAAGGATTGCCCAATCTCTATCAAAGACCATGAAAAGCAACATCCCATGCACAGAGTCCGAGTTTGGTCCTGCACAACAAGTTGATATCAATGCTGTCCTTTCTACAGTGGAGCACTTCATCACAATGAATGACAAAGCCAGTGACACCACCCAGCCTGAGCTAGGTAAGTACAGTACATGATGTGGAGGGCTCATTCTGCAACATTGTATGTAATACTATCTTGATTTTGGACAGATATAGTACAGTGTTTTACAGAGAGCTTATGGGGTTATTTTGTATACACATAAATACATGCACATGCATTTCATGATGCATAAGTCACTGTGCAGACTATTGAGCTGTCATTTGTAACATTTGAGGGAAGACGAAAAGTGATAATAAAATCAGTATGAAAATTAAGTGGTCCAAAAACTTTAGTAACCCAAACATAAGTACATATATTTTTGGTTTCAAATGAAGCACAGGCTATGCCATTGTGTTTTTCAAAACAAACACAAAGTGGTCTAAAATCAATGAAACAGGGCTGGAGATTGTTCCCTAATCAACAAATACAGCTTGGTAAAGTTAAATTGTTTTCAGACAGAGCCCAACATTCAATTTTCCCATCATGAAATGTTGATCTAACGCCACAATTAAACGCAAAAATGCTGCAAAGCAAATGGAAAAGGGTTTAATTAACATGACATTTGGGCACGTATCATAGGGTAAGGGTTAGGGTTGAAGTTAGGGTTACACGTTACACTAACCCTCAATGAATCAGCTTGGACATTGATCAGAAAAAGTGGAGAAAGAAAAAAAAAGAAAAACACACAAGCTCACTCCAAATGAAGGATCGGTGCATCCATTGATAGGGCTGCTCAATTAATCGTATTTTAATCGCAATTACGATTATGGCTTGCAACGATTACGAAAACAACGTAATCGAAATAAAACGGTTATTTTTGTATTATTATTATTACTTTTTTTTTTTATTATACTTAAAGTTCAGGGTAATCAACTGTTAAAAACATACTATTCACATTTTTTTTCTCCAATAAATTGATTTTTTCAAAGTAAATGGATAATTGTTTTTAATAATCGGGATATCAATTATTGACCCAAATAATCGAGATTATGATTTTTGCCATAATCGAGCAACCCTATCCGTTGATGGTGAGCTTACAGCTAACATCCAGTTGCTAAATTTATTGTTTGGGAAAAATAAAAAGGAACTGCACAAATGGTTGAACATTTGTCGGAATGACTCCAGGAAAAACAATTCACTTTCTGTCCAAACACAACTTAAAAGTCACCTATAATGCAAAATGCACTTTTTTATGTCTTTTATACATAAAAATGTGTCCCCAGTGTGTAATGAGACTCACAAAGAAAATACAACCCTCTCTCTTCTCCTCCTTACCCACATCTCTAAAAACGGGGGTACAACTGAACTGATCCAGATTTGCTGCGGTCATGACGACATTACTAAAATGTGGGCTGGCTTTACGTTGAACTCCTGGTGTTTTTAAAGTAATATGGTCTTTGTTTACATTAGCAAGCATCGCTAACACTCAGAGCTAACGCTGTACTGGAGAGAATGTGTGTAAAAATGGCGGATATAAAAAGGTACTCACCTTGTGGTAAACCCGCGAGAGAGAAAGCGCTTGAGCTCCATACTGTTTAAAAAATAATCCTTGATGTGGTTTGGAACATGATATGGCGTTTTGAGTTCCTGCCGGTAGAGTAGAGACTGTTCTCTTCCCGCTCACCGCTTGCATGAGGAAAGGACAACAGCTCGGGTTACATTTAAAGCTACAGACCCAGAATCAGCACTTTAGTAAGAATCAGCACTTTAGTAACAGGGCTGAAATAGAGGGGTATGAGGCATGGCTACAATGGGTGACCTTTTTGGTATTTTGAGCAAAACACTTCAGAGAAATGTTTTGTATAGATATTGCCCTATCATATATTTAAGCAATAGCTCACGACAGGCCGTGGTATATGCTCATTATATCACAGCTAAGGGGCGTGGTTCGGCCCGACGCGAAGCGGAGGGTCGACAACCCCCTTAGCTGTGATATAATGAGCATATATCACGGCCTGAAGTGAGCTATTGCTTTTATAAAACGGTTACCAAGTGTGGCAATATGAAAGAAAAATACACACTCTAATTTAAATAGTTTTTATTAGTAAATAATGATGTTCAAAATAAAATAGTCCCTCTGTTGCCTTCTGCACGAAACATAGTGCGAGGTGGTTGCTATGCAACAACACTAACAACAGCTAGCGAACATATTAGACAGAGAGCGTTGATCCATTATTTGGCTATTTATTTACATTAATGTGTATGTTGCCGTTTATTGTGCACCCACTGAAAAACTGTCCAGCATCAGTAGAATGGCTTACGTGGTTACTTGTATAGGCTGAGGTTGTTCTAGGCTGTTGCTTGGCGTGGCGAGAATATTGCTCCACTTTCTCCAGTCCCCGAGATTCGGCTTCCAGTAGCTCTGGAGAGAGCTTTCGCACCTGTGGCCACTAACGGTCATAATTTCTCTGCTTTGTTTCAAGACCCGCATCAGAAAGCTTTTGAATGGTGGTACTTTTCCAGTTGGTCTACCTGCTCTTCACGTAGCTCTACATGTCGTCGTTTAGGTGCTTTTTGTTCTGGAGATAGGCACTCCTCAATCCACTCCTCCATAGTAAGACCCCCCCCCCCCCCCCCCCCCCGGAGGTCGAAGTTAATCTTAAATGTTTTTGCGGACCTTTTTGATTACAGATTTGAAAACATCGTTGCTTGCTTTAAAAGTAGCACAATTCATTATGTCAAACCTTGGAAAGTATCTAAATATCCCTGCCCTAATGCCAAAGGAACTGCACACTGAATATGTTTTTGCCGTTTGATGTCTATGTCTGGACCGCTGCGTAAAAAGGAGGGTTTCTGCCCCGTTACTTCTCCGCTGCTTTCTTGTTCCAGTTTGAAAAGCAAACTGCAGGCAGTTTGCTTTTCAGCCCAACTGTATACTGTTTATCTCAGACGCGGAGGGATACTGAGTTGTTGTGAAAAGTAACTTACAATTCTACCCGTGGTATACGCTCAGTATACCACGGCTAAGAACCAATCAGATTGCTTGATTTTACTTGTCCGTTTTATAATGTTCAAATATAGCATAATAGGTGAGCTATAATGCATGTGTTTGCATTTCTAATATCAGACACCAATTGCAAACTAGTTTACTAAATCAGAAATGATGTACATTTTCAGAGTACAGTCCTACTATGCATCCTGGGTCAACACTGGAGGGGATTCAGAAGAAGAGCAACAAAAACCAGTATCTATACAGGCAGCTGTGTCACATCGACAAACAGCTGAGTCAGCTGGGACCCTCCGACTTCCCCGACCCACACAGCTACAGCCGGGCTCTGCAGCAGGTCCATGGCATGAAAGTGTTCCTTGAAGATCAGCTTTTTACATCCGGCTTTAACAACCCTGAAGAACCCAACCAGAAGAAGTAAGGAAGTCACTTGTTATAAAGACAACCCTCGTGGTTTGTCAAGTGTTATTCACTATCATCTTTAAATATATGCCAGAGCCTTGAATGTTAGCATTTTCTGTTTCCTTTTTCATCGTGTATGAACACTCTGTTTTCCCGAACTTTTGTGATTGTTGCCCCGCCCTAATTCGATCCACCTGTGTCTAATCACCTTGCTGCCTTTGTGTCCTTGCCTGCCCTATCCAGCTGTGTCTTGTTTATGTGATTAGTTATGTGTGTATATATTCCTTTCTTTGCCAGTGTTTTCAGATTTCCGTCAATGATTCTGAACAATGGTTCCCATATATTTTTCCTGCCGTGGATCTGATGGGAACTTTTGCTGTCTCTTTGTTTTGTGTGTGCTCCATTTTTCCTTTTTATTACGTTAGCCTGCCCCCTTACTTAAACGTTTTCATTAGTTGTACCTGCCTCACTTTCTGTTCTGAATTTTGGTCCAACTTACTTCCATATCCATTACATTGACAGCCACTTAAAAATATTGTGTAGAATAGTGTGAAGAATTATTATTTGCCTGAAAGTTTATTTCTTGTTTATATTTTCTGTATGTGTTTATTATTCATTATTATATTATATTTCAGGTCACTGCAAAGTGGTTTGTCAAAATAATTGAATCGAATCGCATATTGGACTGTAAAGTTTGGAAAACGACAGTCAGTCATTTTGAAATAGTTAAAATATTAAATTAACTTTACTTTCTTTATGCCTAATATGAAGCTAGAGTTATGAGATGGTTAGCTTAGCTTAGCATAAATACTAAAAGTAAGGGAAAGCAAATAGCCGCTGTAGACCAAAAATGTGAAACCCACCGTAACACCAAACATGTTAACATTGTATTGTTAACAAGGTGGTGGCGGATATTGATACTTTTGAACTGATCCCGGCTAACAGTCACCCCCCCCCTCCCATAATATTTCCTTGTCTTGATGCTAAGCCAAGCTAATAACCTGTAGCTTCATCTTGACCATATAAACATGACAATGGTACTGCTTTTTTATTATCCTATATATATCTATGGCAGCAATAATGAAGGAATACACAATCTGTGGATAATTGGCTTCCATTCACCTTACCATTACATAGTAAAGTATATATTTTTAACACGTACATTTAATTACATCTGTGACTCAATTAAAATGCAGTACATACACTTCAGAGGAGAGGTTATAGTTAAGTTAATTCTTTCACTGCTTTCACCTTCAGGTTGAGCCCTGAAGACAGCACTGATGGTGATGGTAATCGGAAGAAAAGAGGGCTTCCATGGTGGTTCATTTTTGTTGGCTGGGCGCTTATGATCGCAAGCAGTTTTGTTTCAGGATATTTCACAATGCTTTATGGGTTGAAATTTGGGAAGGAACGCTCTGCAAGCTGGTTGGTGTCCATGATTGTCTCCTTTTTTCAGAGTATCCTCGTCATTCAGCCACTGAAGGTGAGAAGAAGCAGCCATTCCCTCTTCATAACTCACTATTACACCAGTATTTCCATTGGAATCTTTGTGTTTTAGAAAGGTTAATTTCATAGTTTATTTCAAAGTTTTAACGTTCCTATGAAGATAATTATTTATAAGCACATGCTCACATGCTATTTAATTTGAAAAGGAACATCATAATTCACTAATATCTTTTACCACAGGTGATATTTCTGGCAATCTTCTTTGCACTCGTAATAAAGAAAGTGGATGAGGAAGATTTTCAAAATGTGGCGTTTGAAAGAAATTACAAAAATCTAGGTAAATGATTGAAAAAAAACACGCTTTTTGTGATTGTTTGTCTAACCAGTGTCTTATCACTCTGCTGCCTATGGGTGTTTGCTTGCCCTTTCCAGCTGTGTCTTGTTCATGTGATTGGTGTGTATATATTCCTTTCTTTCCCTGTGTTTTCAGTAAAAAATCCAACAACTGTTATTGTATATTATGTCCTTAAATGTTAAGGTGTTTAAATATACAATAACTCTTCATCCCCAGGTGATTGTAAGGAACCACTAACAGTCAGACGGGATAACAGTCTCTATGTGCCGCCTGCTGCTGCTGACATTGAGAAGATGAAAAGATACAAGATTATGGAACAAAAAGCCTTTGCCCTCCTCAAGGAGATTTTGAGTAAGTAAAAACACAGTTCTTTGGCTTTATTAAGTTATAAGTACTTTTTATTATACATTTGTAATAGTACAATGCAATTATATAATTTGTCATTCACAGGCTTCAGTGTTAGTAAAAGCAAACCTGAATCCACACACATTTTTAGCTATCCCATTTTAACTCTTTCTATTAATTTGCAAACACAAAAAGATGAAAAGAAACAGCATGGAATGAATGTGACAGGTCGAATTAAACTCACTGGCCACCTTGTCATTAATTAATTTTCGAAGGACTTTAGGCCTTTCAGGGCAGACGTTTTGACATGTTACAGTATGAAAAAAAGAGGTGTAATAATACAATTAGTTATAGCTGAAATCCATTTAGCAGCCTGAGTTTCAGGATCCTGGTTGCATGCTGGCTCCCTGTCACACTTTCTGAAATAAATGTATCTAATGATTTAAAAAAAAAACTTGCACTGAAGTTATTACATACCTAAATGAATGAATTAGGATAAAAAACAAAACATTGTGGTCCTCTCCGTCATGACTTACTGAGTTTCTTAATTAGTACAAAGCCTTCATTAGTGTTACAAGTCAAATATGTCTCCTGTGAAATAAAAGCTAGACGCAACTGTAAGTCAATTTAAAAGTCAACCAACCGAAATTAATATTTAATATACAAAGAAAAATTACACATAGATAACAACATAGAGTTGTTAGCATTTATTGTTTTGTAACTAACCATATTGAGCTAACAACTCTATGTTGTTATCTTAATTACATACTGATGGTCCATTGTATACAGTTAATATTTATTTTGACTTTGATTGGGGACATGGCTTATCATCATAAAAACATTTTCACGTCTATTATGTGCCATTTTATGGCCATGATCATGGGAAGCTGGGAATTTAAACATGTATCCTCAAAAATCGCAGCAATTGCTTTTAATTATTTCTAACTGACCTCCGATGCCTCATTCTGTTAATGATGTAGAGTGTGTTTAACGTTGATGTGCCCATTTGTTGCAGCCTACATGGGGTTTATGTGGATGTTGCTGCTGGTGGCGTACGGCGAGAAAGATCCCAACGCTTTTTTCCTGAAACGACACATCCGGGATAGCTTCAGTCAAGGGACCAAAGACAGCATGAGTCCTGGAGATGTGTTCACATGGGCCAACACATTGCTACTAAAAAACCTTTTTGGAGTTTATCCAGGTAAAGGTGTTTCCCTCATGTAGAGGGCAGAGATTATTTTACAACTAACACCGCTTCGAGTTAAAGCAGCTTTTCTTTGTTTTGTTTGCGTTTTTGTAAGACCAAGGATGTTTTGTTCCGAAAGTGTGAGCTGCATAAACCTTGGTTGCCCTCCAGAAAACGTCCTTCTCTCATGCTTTGGAATTTAATAGCAAATACCTCCAACGCAGAGGAGCAGGATGTTTTTTCTTTTTGCTCATTTCTTAGGAGATTAGACAGTTGGATATGTGAAGTTCTTCATGTAGGATAATGCCAAAGGGAGCAATTACCAGGAGCCAGATGCTTCATGTTACCAAAACATACTCACTGAATAATCTTCTTTTAATGGACATTACAGCATGACTCTAATGGTTTACTGGGTTCACTTTACCCAGTACTAAATGAGAAGAAAATCACCTTAGACATTAGTTGTTTTGAAGCAGGTTTTGTGTTATCTTTGTTTAACTGTACATCTACTTTGGCTCTTTTTGAAGACACATCACAGTGTGTCTAAGGGTACATAACTTTCTATGTACCCTTTGTTTTTTTTATTGCTATATTGCACGAATGAATCCCGACCTGCCCTGGATTGGTCGCCATATCAGTTTCTATTTGACGTGCAGTTGAAAGTACAAGAGAGTTTATAACACTTTTGCAATATCAATTTATTAATACCATAAATAACAAAACTCTCAGACAAAAAATTGGGCTTTTGTTAACTTTATTACATTTAGTGTGAGATCCCACATCTAAGTATCATGATCCATACACAAATCTGATAAAAGGTGTAACACAAGTTGACAAAATTACATACATCATCAATACAAATACGAAGTGTCTGTCCGGCTTGATATGATCGTTAATTTACACAACTGATATTACATTTGTGACGGTGTTATGGTATAACATGAGCTTGTTCAACACAACAATATTTTAGTTGGTTAAATAACCCAGTAGTCAAACAATGAAACTGAGTCAAAACATTGGTCAACCCATTAGTTAAACTGTGCACACTATAATATAAGTGCTTTATTAAACCGATTGATTTGTATTTATCTGTAAACTTAATAACATCATCAATGTTATTCAGTAACAATTGCATGTGACAAATAGGGAAATTGTCCTTGGCTTTGACCCAATTTACTGGTCAAAATCTTTGAATATGTGACATATAGAGACCACACACTTAACTTTCCTTTAGCACTGCCGCAGAAAAATTCCCAAAAATTAACTTTAAACGTTTCTGTTCCAGGATTTATCACAGATGGAAACTCCAAGCTAGTAGGTAATGCCCGTCTCCGTCAACTGAGAGTGCAGAAGAACTCCTGTCAAATTGCAGGCTACATGCAGCAGTTTGTACCAGACTGTCACGCTCCATATTCATGGGACTTGGAGGATATGGGCTCCTATGACCCTGGCTGGAACCATTTGGTTAAGGAGAATGTCTCTAGAGGCACCTTCAGCCCATGGACGTACCAAACACAGACTCAGCTCAGGGCTCATCCTTTCTGGGGCAAAATGGTACTGTATAGGGGAGGTGGCTTTGTAGCGGAGATCGGCCCGGATTCACAGAACGCCAGCCGGTACGTACATTAGCAAAAAGGAATTAATCATTGCAAGAACAATAGATCATCTCTATTTATTTTTTTTTTTACTGGCCTACAAGTTTTAATTATCCTTAGATTTTATAAATAAATATATTAACATTGACATAACCCAGCTTTGACTGTGAAATACTCAGCAATAACAGACTGATCTTGAAATTACCTAAATTACTCTCAGTCATTCATGTCCTGCCTGACACTTGTTGTGAAGGCTGCTTCTAGGCTGCTTAACCAGCACTGCATACACAACCTGCAATGGCTACCATTTCATAATTATTTTCGGATCCACCAATTGTTATCAAGTTTTGAATGGATGTGAACCCCCCTGTTTTATACAGTTACCTGTACATTTTCTAGATGTTTCTATGTTATTGGCAGCCATGTTTTTACTAGGCTTTGATGTGTCTTTTATATTGTATATGTTGTTTACCACTTACAGACCTTTGGTTAACCTTGTTCGTTTGGAAATGATATACATAAATGAACTGAACTTTTCAATACACATTTGTTTATAAAAATCAAAAGATGATGTAAGCTGAAATATTGTGCTTTATATAAATAGGATCACGTAAGAAGGCCTTCAGTAAAAACGTTCTCCTTCATTCACAGCACCCTTGAGTATCTGTTCAGGAACACTTGGTTGGATGCATACACAAGGGCAATCTTTGTGGAGTTTACCGTTTACAACGCTAATGTGAACCTCTTCTGCATTGTCACACTCTTGCTTGAGACAACAGCTGTAGGTAAGGTTGAGTGCTTCCCTTAAAAGGTGCAAACATTGTGCTATCATAACTTTGCTAAGGGGAATTTAATGCAGATGTATAACACTTCACCAATCTCTGCATCTAAAAACGTACTGTCAGATTCTGTTGCTTCTTACAAACTGTAATTATAACTAATAAAGGTGTTTCTGATCATTTTTTAGGAGCTTTTCAATTCTATAGTGAGTTGCAGAGTGTTCGTCTTTACCAATCAACTGGTGGTCTTCACATCTTTGTCTTGGCTGCTGAGATCATATACCTGCTTTTCATCCTCTATTACATGTTCCTGCAGGTACATGACCACAACAAAATATTGTTATTATATTGTCCCATTAATTGCTTGTCTCTTTGTTTTTCATGTACCTATTTTATTACAGGTAATAAGACAGGCAAGGGCTTTCTATTTTCACTGAGTGATTCACAAACACTAAACTGTGACTGAACTGATAATAAGCGGTCAAGGCTCATTAGTCTGTTCACATGAACCCAGTCACCCTAGTTGGATTTGCTTTTTGGTTTTCGAACAATTTTCCATCATTGAAGACTGTTTGCTACAGAGAATAGTGAGATTACAAATTGATATTAACATATAATCTTACCACATACTTACATGTGTGGACATTGTTTACTTAGCAAATGTTAATTTGCTTGTTAATTCCGAAGAGCAATTCACAGCCGACCCAGAGCACCTTATTATCCAAACACTATATTGCCCCACGTAGTAAGTGTATGCGAGGAAATAAATACTGACGACATGAACGCTAATGTGTTGATGCAATGCTGATGTTGGTGTGAGGATATAATAACATTAATCTTTCTGTGTGTTTTCCTTCTTTATAATGGCTTTAATATCATTGTTTATTTTTCATCTACAGCACAGCTTGTGCAGTGCTGCGTCTTAAGTTAATTATACTTCATCTTAGAGCCATTTTGATAAATGTTTGTGTTTGGTATCCACCATTCCAACCCTAACCCTAATAATGTTACATTGTGTGTCCTTCCTTCAGCCCCTTGAGACTGGTATTTGGATGCAGGGAATAGAAAAAACCTTGACTTATTAGTGTTTTGTTTCAGTAACACCTGCAAAGCAATATTTATTTAATTACAGCACTTGACAACATTTAATACAGGAGATTTCTTTTCACACTCCTTTGAAGATCACTTGGAAGTTTGGATATCAAACAGCATTGAGATCAAAGTATTATGCGCTTATGTCACTCAGAAATACTGCATACAAATCAGTTTGAATAAATGCATATTGCAGTAACTGTTGACTGATTTCAAAACAAGTAAACCATTAATCTTTCCTTTTGTATTACCAATATAATAAAAGAAAACATGTTTTCTTAAAAAACGAAATCCCAAATATCTTTCTAAATAATTTTGCCTACATAAAGAAAGTATTTAGTGGAAGATGTTAAGCCTTCATAATTAACATAGTCTTGCATACAAACAGGTTAATGTCGCATATGAACATCTCTCTTTCTTTTCCTCCCAGGCCAAATTAATGAAGCAGCAGCGGTGTGCTTACTTGAGGAGCACGTGGAATCTTCTTGAGCTGTCTATCATCTTACTGAGCTGGAGCACCTTGGCCATCTACATTAATAGGACGCTGCTTGGGAACCGCGACATAACCTACTACCAAAATCACAAAGACCAGTAAGATAAACCATGCCTCAAAAACCTGAGGTCCAACCTTACATTTATCTCGTATTCTATGGCAATTGTCAAGCAAACACCTTTAATGGCGTACAAGTTATGCAGTTCGCTTTATATTGTGCTTAGGTGTTTACTTTCTAATGCTCATTATCCATGCTAGTGGCGTTAGGGCTATGGCATTAATATTAATTTCTGTATAAATTATGTTGTAACCTGATACCTATTAATCCTAGAATTTGAATGATCCCCTGATATTTCCGTTAGAGACAACTTGACGTTCAAATTAGTGATTTTGCTCAAATTAGGATTGATTTAATGCTAGAAATGTTACCATGTTAACATTCTCTACTAAGATGTTCAATAATTTAAACCTTTAACTTTTCAGCATGTTTATTTAAGAGCATGTTAGCATGCTAATGTTCACATCAAGTTTAATAGAGCCTGTAACATGGCTGTAGACTCTTTGTGTCTTGTTGTGTAATTCTTTGCTTTCATCTTGACTTCTGTAATGATGACACATTTTCAGTGTCATAAATAATAAGGTACTCTTTTTCTCCTATTTGTGATGGATCACATTTTTACTGTGTACACAGATTTGCAAATTTTTACGAGACAGCCTCAGCAGACTCATTGCTCCAATATATGATCGCCTTCCTAGTCCTGCTTTCCACCTTCAAACTGTGGCACCTGCTCAGACTGAACGCCAAGATGAACATGCTCACCGCTGCACTGCAGCGCGCCTGGAGTGACGTATCCGGATTACTTCTGGTCATTGTGGTCATGTTCGTGGCTTACTCCATTTCAGTATGTATTTTCCCTTTACCTCCACCTTTCCCTCACACAAAGATCAGAGTCTTTCTGGCTCTTATTTAATTCACTGTTAAGCATGTTAAGTAATTTGGGGTTTAAAGGGGACCTATCATGCAAAATGCACTTTTGTACGTCTTTTATACATGAATATGTGTCCCCGGTGTTCCAGGGAACTCACCAAGTGTCAGAAAACACAACCCTCTCTATTTTCCTCCATACCCAAATCTCTAAAAAAGGGGCTGCAACGGATCTGATACAGACTGATACAGATTTGAACACTTCTATGACGTCACAGAAGTGGCGCTACGGCTATTGGGCCAACTCTCCACCTATCAGGGGAATGTGGGGTTGGGCCACGGCCGGCCATTGCCGCTCGAAAGCGCTGGAGACGCTGTAGTACATATGCCAGGCCTGTAAGTGGCGCTGTAGTCTGCCACAAAAGCAGCGAAGAAGACTTCCCGCCCATAGTTACCATGGTTACCCTTCTGTTTATTCTCCGCTGTGGCTTTTTTTTCTCCCTCCCCGAGGCAAGCATTTGCTCCCACTGCTTTAATTCAATGCAATCCCTCCCCGTCGAGGCAAGCACTGTAATTCTCTCCGGTTAGTCCACCAGCAGATGACAAACACCCACCTCTCCGCCTCTTCCAAGGAACGAGGGGACCGTGCGGCAGAGTTTCAGTTTCAGTTTCTTTCGCCGGTCAAGATGTCCGTTAAAGTTTAAATCTTCCGGACAAAATTAGAAAAGTGCCGGTCAAAGGTCTTCTTTGTTATTTATTGAGCTTTAAAACAAATGAATAACGACTCTATATAATAAAACACGGAGGACGGAGATCTCTTTTTCTCCCCCTCTTCTGACAGCCCAGCAGCTGATCAGAGCACGTCTCCCCTCTCCTGCAGGGGGGCGTGGTCAGCAGAATCAGCCCCGTAGACAGCAAACAGCACATAGAGCGAAATGAGGCATGGCTAAAATGCATGATCTGTTTGGTATTTTGAAAACAGAAACGTATAAATATACCTTATATAGGTATGGCCATACAATATATCATTTAAATATAGCATGATAGGTCCACTTTAAATAATACTATGACATGGAATTGTTCTCAAAATGTTAAAACATTTGTATTACTTTTGAAGTCCTGTATATCCCTGGATCTGTTACTAAATTAAAGGCACTTTAAAAAAGGGAGTTCAGTTTAAAAAACTGAAATTGTATTTAATTTACCTGGTACAGTTAAATAATATATATCCTCAGATCTACTGACATTTGAAATACATTTATTAAAATAATGACTGTGTGTATTGGGGTTATTGTGCAGTGATGGTGCTTTGCGAGGTTACACTTAATATACAGTATTGACACATTACATTTTTTCAAATGTATAGTACATGCTTTCTATGGGTAAAATGGCAATATATGAATGACCAAACATCATCCCATTACTGTACATCCAAATGTATATATTAAATTAAATCAGAAAGTCACAATTTTAGACATTCCTTTTGTTGATGTAATGGTTTCTCTTTCTTCAGAGCAACGTGATTTACGGCTGGAAGGTATCCTCATATAAAACTTTGACAGATGCTCTCCTGACCCTCATCAGTTTGCAGATAGGCATCTTTAATTACAACGAGGTATACAAACTCTTCCCACTACTCACAGAGTTGCAATGGAAAATACTAACAAAATACTGTTCAAAACTATACTGTTCAAAAGTTTTATAATATGTTCACCTCGAATTCCTTTATCTAATTTAAATTGTGTTGAGTGTAGAGTGACCTTCTATTTATATTGTACAACATGTCTGTCGATCCAGTCCATCTGGTTGTATTTATTACTATGCACTTGACAATGAAACAGTAACCTGTTCCCATTCAAAAGAGTTTATTATAACCAATGCTGTTTTTTTTTTTTATCTCGTTCTGGCCTTTAAATGGTCCCATACCCTTTATACAAAAACACATCTTTGTCAGGGGTACTTATTTCAACCTTAAAGCATAAAAGGGGTTGTCTTCTTAGCCATCGGACTGTACCCAATCAAGCTTTTGATGCAGGCAATTCAAACTTTTGGATTTTTGGTGTATATATAACTCATGAGGGCAAACTGTTGGATGACTAACCATGTGCATGAATTGAGCTTTGTTCTGTATTATTTGAAACTGACATTGATGAATCTGATGCACTGTTTGCCAGGTCTTGGACAACACCCCCGTGCTCGGTGGATTACTCTTTGGATCCTGTATTGTGTTCATGACCTTTGTGGTGCTCAATCTTCTCCTATCAGTGATTCTTGTTGCATTCCACCAGGAGCAAATATATCACAAGGTAACACCTATCACATACTGTATGTGTTGTTGTTGTTTAACTAATCAAGGTTTTTCGACTGAAATAATACATTCTAAAAGACTAAAGTATATCTTTGTCAAAAAATGTTTTAGAGCAGATTATACTTTTTATGGCATACCGAATAATTTGCTAACTGTTTACAGCAGGTATATGCTCATATTCTAGTAAGGGAGTTCCCTAGAACCCTATTTTTAAGAAAGAGCATGCCATTTATAGTTAAGGCTAAAGCCACCTTGATGGAAGTGCTGGTGGGCATAAAACAAAGATGAATGCACAGAAAAAACAATTTATCTCGCAAACAGTTCAATAATGTCATTTCTGGCCTTAGCATGCAGTTTTTTCCGCCCGAAAAACGTCCAAAGAAGAAGCTTAAGGGACATAAACTGTATATCTATCAATAAACAGAGCCAAGATGAGATTCACTACATTCATCATCTGGTCAGAAACATAAATTCCAGATAAATTCTATTGTTGCTCTCACGCGTCTGTATGTGCAACGAGGCAAAAGATCATATAACTTTGAAATGTACATGTCAGTCTTTGATGCTACCAAGGCCAAACATATTCATAGTCATGCTGCACAGCCCAAAAGCAAGGATGGGATTCAAACATTCCAACAAGCAATTAACAGACATTCTATGGAGGTCATATAGTTTCTTGACTACAAATAAATCCATGTGAAAGGGATGGAAATGAATTGAACTAAAATGCCAGCTCCCTCAGTATGCCTCCTTAATGCTGGATCCTGCTGTCTAAGGTACAAGGCTGAATTCAAAGTTACCCAGTGATCTCCGGAGCGTTCACTTCCTCATTATGCTTCCTCACGCTAAGTTCATATGCTTCCAAGTCCAGACCCTTATCAATCTTTACAGCCAAGAGAACAGTGTGAACATATTAATGGATCTGACTCCTTTCAACGTCCTGTCCTAGGTTGACAACTCCTATAGAAGACTCGGCTATTGTAAAAGCGGCTGAAGGTTGACACTGCACACCTTTACTCTGCATTTGTTGAATTGAATATAAGTTATTCAACTAGCATTTTAATCTCTAAGAGCTGAAGTTTAGTTTGGAGTAGGCTCACCATCACATAATACTGAAATTGCACCAGAATGTGTAATTTAGTAAAACAAAAAATAAATCAGTTTTCACGCTTTAGAAACATAGCTGAAACTTATTTTGAAACATTTGATGGTTGTGGATGGAGCTGCAAAGCGTTCACTATGAATTAAATACATGATAAATGGCATGCTATACATCCTAAACCTTACCATAAGTTGAGTGAAACATTTACATTTAACAATCATGGCTTACCTGTCAAGCGTAACCACTGCAGGGGGCAACTCAACTGGTTGCAAAAAAGGTTTCAGGTCACCCTTGAAAAAGAGATCAATGATCTCAATGGGATTCACCTGCATAAATAAAGGTTTAAAATGAAATGAAATGAAATTGTGTAGAAGTCTCTTGATTTATACAAAATAGTATCACAAGTTAGTTTTTTTTGGCATTGCTACCTTGTAAGTGACATGTTCTGACCACTGCATTATCCAGTTCCTCGTCAAAGTATCTTTCAAAATTCATAAACATTAATTGCGACATTGCTATCACTTTAAAATGCCTTTTTCATTATTTGATTTTGCTTAACTTAACCTCTTATGTGCATTTCCTATATACAGTGCAGTCTATGGCAACAGTGTGTTAGCTGTTATTGTTTTTCCCTTGTGTGTCTGTGTGTTATCATGGAAAAATGTTCTCCTAGAGACACCTGCTGTATCGGGACTTCCACAGAGGAGGCTTTGTGTACCTCACCTACGGTTTATATGTCTGAAGACAGATACAGCTAATGCGATAGCATCATAGGAAACTTTATAGTTGTGTAGTTGAGATCAAATTGAAGGCTGAGTTTGAAGATGATGTTGGAGAAAGCGGATAAGGGACCATTGCTCCCCCCCCACACACACACACACTCTAAACCCCTTGATCAAATGGGTGTTACAGCTGGTATGGTGTGACCCAATTGCAAGATGGTCTCTAGATTAACTCAACACCCTACAAAGATATCTGGCAGTTCTTGAACCTGCTGAGAGGCTGGGGGTCTGTGATTTGCTGAGGAGTGAGGGGACATTTGTTCTAAATGTGGTTAGTCTAGTAATGCCATATAATCTGTAATTTGTTCAAGATTAAAGCTGTGATGTTTTATACAGCTTTTAATAAACACTCCCTGCTCGATATTACACATGAAATTACTGTAATTCAGTTGCATTTAATTGAAAAAGGATCTCCAAGCCTCTCTTCATTTCCAGGATGAAACACGTTTTCCTTTTATACACAAGCAATGATACACCTGCAGTAAATGAAACACCATTGTTCCGTTGTCATTCTTTGTGGGCTTTTATGTCTACTGAATTGCGCTCCAATTTTGCGATGTTGGTTTTTCACATTGTCTTGAAGTACATTTAATGTTCTCAGTGGTTAGAAGTGTCAAGACCATCTCTGCAATATTTCTTATCACTTCAAACATGATTTTGTCATCTGTTCTCTCTTACCCAGCCCTCTGACGAGGAGGAGATTGTCGACCTGATGCTGAAGAAAATCTGCAGTCTTTTCGGGATCCCATATGAAAATACAAATGAAACCCCAGGGCCTGATCTGAACAAGGCTGATGAATCGACCATTAATAACAGCAAAAATATCCTTAACAATTCCTCAATTGATGTTAATGTTTTTTAGACAGCTGACGATTCAGTTAAGAAAATGCACCAATATCAACAAGTTAATTTGTTCTTGGTTGTTACCTTACCTAATTAAAGAGAAAGTTACATATAACAATATCTCCAATTGACAAATATGTATTGAGAAGTAATCTTGATAACTTTTCAATATGGTTTCATCTGGTGAAACAGTGCAGTAGGAAACCGCTCGCACTCTTTACATACATGGTAAAGGCACTGTATGGAACCACAATGATTAAATACTCTGATCAGATCAGTCAATTGTCCAGAGTAGTCTTCATATCTACAAGTATATGAGGCAAAAGGTTTGGTGTACCTCATACTCTATTCAAAAAATCAAAAATCAAACAAAAAACTTTGAATGTTAACTTGGCATTACCTTGTAAAATAAAAGCACGTTGTATAACTTCGTACCTAAATACATCATAAATATTTTAGTTGAACAGAAAGCAAAAATACATACCTATATATATTTGTTATGCTTTAATGGATAATTTGTATTGTTTTATATACAAAGTATATATGCATGTATGTGTTTGGGAGAATTGTAAAATGTAATGTGTTTGGTAAATTAAAGAGCAGGAAGACAATATTGCTCACCCTGTCTTTTTGTCAGTCCCCTGTACAGTTTGTTGATGTGTGCCAACAGCCATGGTTACTGTGGCAACAACAAGCCTGACATCCACTCTCTCAGACTACAGAGTAATCAGCAGTGAAGCAAACGCATTTAAAAAAAAAGTCAGTCAAAAATAATTACAACATGATCTAATTTCATGCTTTGCACCGCATGAGCAGAAACAGCAGGGCACATATCAGTTGGTTACCTCATTAAAGTGTGAAGTTTGGATGCTCCTTCTTCTGACAAATGAAATGCAGAAATTGTCTTGTTTTGTTACTCCTTCAAAAAAATACACATATTTTGCAACGTGAAGCCTTTCTGATGCGACAGTAAGATGTCCTATTTACATTAGCGGTACATAGATCAGAGCAACCCATCCGGGTACTTTCCCGTCATGGACGCGCCCCTTTTTGGATTCAAACACTCAACAGACAAAATTAAGAATACCTTGCATTTTCTTTATCTACAAGAAGCCAAATTATGATGATCAGTCAGGAAGACAATTAAACAATGTCATTGGAGATAGAAGATTGGTGTTGATATAAAGTTAAATTAAAAGCAATAGGGTATCGATCTCCTGCCAGTCTGCCGGCAAGTGGCAGGCAGCAGGCTTACACTTAAACTGGTATTACCCTGGCTTCTCAGTTTTTTACATTTTAATTACTTTCACTACTTTCACTTTTAACACTACAAATGTTTACTTTGACGATTGACGTTGACCTTATAAGTATATAGTAGCGTATAGTATTGACTGACCGGTTCTCATTGATTACGAACTCCATCCTCTCTGTGGAGGACTGACGACCCAGATATTTTATTTTTTCGTCCTTTTTTTAAGTCACAGTATAGAACTTTGGATCTTAATGTTGTTAAACTTGCAATACAAAGGAAGCTAAAGTTTAAGGCATGAAAGAAACGCTTACTGGAAAGTGGGCAGGGCCGTTATTTCGCCATGCAGTGACATACAGTAGGGCTGCTTTCATCTGTAAATACAGCTATGTTATGCTGTGGATTGTAAGCAGTGACGCTGTTATCAATTTAATAAATGTGCACTTGATTACACGCCACATTGTTTCCCTGTGAAGGAACCATGAGATACATGTAATGTAGGTCTTTCTATGGTACACCACTTACGTACAAGACTGTCAGTAATGATGAGCCACGATCAATATTGTGCTGCTGTCAGCATCCCACTAATGACAGAAGGTTAAAGCACTTAAATGTTTTCTAGTACCCATTGTAGATTTTTCTTCACAGCATGTGATCAATAATGTTGCCTTGTCTTTGGACAAATAATTCTTGTATATTTTTCTACAGTTTGGAAATCTTGTGTCGGACAAAAGATGTGTGTGTGATGCGAGTGAAACTTCCCCATTAGTTCTGCATAGGAGGATCTATGGGGAACTGCTAAGGCAACAAATTCATATTTTTAATGGGTGTTATATTACAGATAGTACACATAGTACCTATTTGGCTAATTAATGAGGCTTCCTGACCTGAACAGTGCACTGAGAAAAAGGTTTAAAAACATCAACAACATTTCACCTATAATGTGAATATGTAGTTTATAAGACCATGGGTATAATTAATATGCATCCCCAACCCTGCTGGGAAGGCTTTGCAAAAGATTTTAGAACCAGGCTGCAGTGATTTGCATTTTGGCGTGCTTTGGATGAGCTTGGGGTGAGAGCTCTCTGCAAACCATATGATTATAAACTGCGCTTTGTATGCATTAGGGCATTGCCATGTTGAAACGGCTCCTCAAACCTTTCCAAGTTCTTTTGGAAGAACTGTGAAGACATTCAATTCAGAATCATCATAATCAAAAACATCATTTATTCCAGTGGATAATTAGGTTTCATGACAGTTGCACCACTTTAGAATTGTGAGGATATACAGTTCTGCCTCCTTCTTTTCCCCTTTTTTGTGTTTGTTGTTGTCTGTCTGTCTGTGTGTCTGTCTTCCTGGCTGGGCGTGGCTGACCTACTTTCGATTCCCGCCAACTCACCTCCTCAGCTGTTGCTCGTCACTCTGATTCAACTACTCACCTACACCTGCCTATATACCCGGTTTTCGTCATCCAGTATTAACCAGTTCGTCATCTCACCACGTTGGTAATTTAGTGGGAATGCTGATACAGCATTCCAACTATATGTTATGCTACGGACAAAAAGTTTATTATTCCGCCGACTTATTTTGGCCCTCTTCTCCCACATTCAACATCGCAGAAACTCCGTTCAAACATCAAAGCGTTCAGCTCGGTCGGGAATCGCAGGCTATTACTTTTATCATTCATAACTTTCATAATTCCAGAGATACATCCCATAATTCATCACATTTTTTACATTTTAACTTTAACATTGCGCAGCTCGTTAAGGCAGAGTGATGTCACAGCTAGAGGGTAGGAAATCTTGAAATTTGCCTTCATATTTTTTTTTAAAACTGCCATAATTCCCAAACCCTACATTCCTGAGACATACTTTTTCATGACGAACGTAGGAAAACATCTCGTAGCTTGAAAAATGACAAACAATTAAGCAAAAATAATTAAACAAAATGCCTCTTGAGGGCATGAAGTGACAAAAACGTTCAACATGTCTCCATTAAAACCCATTGTAATTTCAGGCTGATATTTCCTCACAGCAGCAGCCGCACACCTTTAGTTAAACTGCCAAAAAGGCCACATTACACTTCAGATACTCAACTTCCTTGACATGCTTCACGTTTTGAAATTTCACAGATATCTGTTATCGTTCTTCCACAAAACGTTCACATGTAAGAGGTTCATCTCTCATTCAGAACAATGCAAACCTTTGATCTCTACAGACCTCGTTAGCTCAACTATAAACACCTGTGTAATGGAACACGATGATGTCATCACTCCAACTGACAGCAGTCAGTTCTAACTGTTAATTTAATTCTCTCTCTCTCTCTCTCTCTCTCTCTCTCTCTCTCTCTCTCTCTCTCTCTCTCTCTCTCTCTCTCTCTCTCTCTCTCTCTCTCTCTCTCTCTCTCTCTCTCTCTCACACAATGTTCCAAACGGCCCAAAACTTCACAGGTTTGGTAACGATGCAGCCATCAACGCATCTAACCGTATTATGGGGTGTCGTGTCATCAAATGCCGTTGCCATGGTAACAGACCACTCGCCATGAAGCACGATGTTGCTGTAAATCCAATGGACACGGTCCGATCGTCCCCCAAACTTCGCTTGTATATCACCGGTCCAGCCATCAACAGCTCTACGTCAATTATGGGGTTTCTTCAAATACCGTTGCCATGGCAACACAATGCTCGCCATGAAACACGGTTTTCTCATAACCTCAGTGAAAATGCTCCAAACGGCCCAAAACTTCACAGGTTTGGTAACGATGCAGCCATCAACGCATCTAACCGTATTATGGGGTGTCATCAAATGCTGTTGCCATAGCGACAGACCACTCGCCATGAAGCACGATGTCACTGTAAGTCCAATGGACACGGTCCGATCGTCCTCCAAACTTCGCTTGTATATCACCGGTCCAGCCCTCAACAGCTCTACGTCAATTATGGGGTTTCTTCAAATGTTTTCTTCAGACCACTCGCCATCAAGTTAGTTCCAAAGGTTGCAGTTCAAATATTCTGCTGCTTTTCCAAGCCTTTTTACTTTCTTTTCTTCACTCATCACACATTCAAGCCCCCAGTGTTCATGTATCCTTTCAATCTAGATTCTTCACTTTCTTCTTACACATTACATTTCAGCATAGCAGTTTGGGCGTCAGCTTTTCAGCATAAAGCATTCCCTCTAGCAATTTCTTCAGGAATTGCATTCTCTAGTTCGTCTTGGTATTATAGTTATTAGGGAGGCGTGTGGCGCAGTGGATAGAGCCTTGGTGTTGGGATCAGGGGGTCACAGGTTCAAACCCCACTGCAGTCAGCATGTTGTTGTGTCCCTGGGCAAGACACTTCACCCCAAATTGCTCCTGTGGGGATTGCCCACAGTATTGAGTATGTAAGTTGCTTTGGATACAAGTAACATGTGATGTAATGTAATATTAGCAAAACCTATGTCACAGTGTTCCCGTTATCCTGACCTTGTACCCTCTCTGTTCAGAATCCGTCTGCCTCCTCCTCTGCCTGCCACGTCCAATCACCAACCCCTCGTCTGTGTTCCTCCATGCATCCTCGCACACCTGCCCCAGCCTGCTCGCTCTCGTCAGTTCTGGATCCCCGGCTCACCTCGTCTGTGTTCCTCCGTGCTTCTCCGCACACCTGCTCCAGCCTGCTCGCTCTCGCAAACTCTGTAGATCCCCGGCTTCGGACCTCCACTCCACCCTGCCCCCGCCTCATTAGTGTCTGCTTAGAAACGTCTCTTTTTGTCCACCCTTCTTCTGATGTTGTCGTGTTTTTCTGTTCTTATGTCTTTGAGTATGGCTTTAATGCTTCATAAACTTCAGTCTCCTCTCTATAGTGTTCAGTATTGTGGGTTCACACCTGTAAGCTCTCGGAGAGCGTAACAAGAATAAAGGAATACATATTATATAAACAAAAGAAGGTGAAGAAAAAATAGCAATAAAAGTCCTTGTAGTGACTGGGACACAACTCTTTCGGCACAGGAATGAGGCAGGATTGCTTCCTTATAACAGGGACCCTCTGAAGACTCATGGTGAAGACATGTTGATTATCTTGGTGCAATCCCTGTATACCCAAACCGTCCGGAAGCCATCAACGGAAATGTTTCAAAAGTTGTTTATGAAAATGTTCCGTGAAAATCCCATTGATAGAAAAGGCCTTGTTGTCAGGTATATCCTGATATAGCCATGTTTCTGTAAAGCACATTATACTACACTCGAGAAATTCCGTGTGACTCCTAGCTTGTCCATTTCATTATCCAGTGAAGTTAAAGCTCACCTATTATGCTATATTTGAACAATATATTATAGGGCCATATACAAAACATGTCTCTGAAGTGTTTTGCTGAAAATACCAAACAGATCACCCATTGTAGCATGCCTCATACCCCTCTATTTCAGCCACATCAAGCATTATTTCTGAAACAGTATGGAGCTCAAACGCTTTGTCTCTCGAGGGTTTACCCCAAGGTGAGTACCTTTTCATATCCGGCTTCCTTACACATACTCTCTCCAGTACAGCGTTAGCTCTGAGTGTTAGCGATGCTTGCTAATGTAAACAAAGACCATATTACTTCCAAAACACATCACGCATTATTTCTGATACAGCGACATTAATGATAGGGGACGATAGGTTGGGTGGGCGGAACGTTGTCAGCAGTTCAACGTAAAGCCAAGAAATGCCAGCGTTCTCCTCCGGTTTACAGGCACTGTGTAAATTATATATATAGAATAATGATGATGATTGTTGGAGATGAATGTTCAGACTGGAGCCACAAACCACCAGGAGACAGGAGTTTAACCTGTTTAGCCCTGAGCCTGTTTTTCAGGTCTCAGGCTCGAAAATGACATTCCCAACACAAATGACCATATCTTCCCTTCTAAAAGGGTTAAATTAATAATCTTTTTCCTCAAAGTAATGATAAACCTGTGAGTTGGATGTAGAAGAGTCAGAACAATATAGATGTTTTTTATTTTAAAGAAAATTCAGATTGAACATAGTAAAAAACTGTAAATTATAGTGTCCGTCCAAAAATTCTTTTTTACTTATAGTGAAAACTACCCTTGGATGATGGTAAGGTAGACAAAGCTTTAGGAATCCAAAGTAAAACATACAATAAGTACCCTGTATTAAGATTGATGCAAAACAAGTGACATTTGACCTTTTTAGAGAGGTTTAGCAAAGAAAACTCCACCTCTGAGGCGATTTGGGTGGAAATGGGGGTTTTACCGTTTCTCTGGAACCCATTGGTCGATTTTGGTGATTGACATCTCTTTATGACCGTTAGAGCCAATAGAATCGAAGGGGAATCTCCCCTCTCACTAACATGGCACAACAAAAAGTGGGGGCTTTGCGCATGTAGTTTTGCATCAGAGCGAACCTACACTCTAGCTCTGACATCTAGAAACGGAAAAGCAGTTTTATTGCTCATGGATTATCAGACATAATTTCAAAGGGACACAGACACATTGGATTAACCTATGGATTAACTTCAGCAGCGTTTTTATTGTTTTAATGCCATTGAAGACCACGTTTGACCAGACAAAGGTGAGCCATGTTAGCATTTTTAGCTACCTAGCGCCACATGTTTTGATGTCTGTTTTTGTTTATAAAGTCGCGATTTCGTATAATTGAGTGATAATGAGGGTAGCCTTCGATTCTGTGTCACCTCACGATGTGAAACGATGTCATGGATGTGCAGAAAAGATAAATAATAAGGTTTTGTGAGTGAATTTCGGTGCAGTAATCTGTTAGCATTTTTCGCTCGTTGCTAATTCAGAGGCTCAGCGTTAGCATTGTGGGTTTTATTTTGAAAAAAAAATAAAAATGATTAGTTAGATGAGTTTCTTCCCGTTACATGGATATAAAACATTCATAGTTTATTAAATGAACATGCCCTCAGACACTGTTTCCTGCAAGATGTTGCGGCAGTGCCCCGGTACCGGGGTCTCTCAGGCTTAACAGGTTAAATGTCTTTGTTTTATTTATCAGGGTATTCAGTTGGTGGGATGGTAGCTGTTGCCAATGGTTCTAGTAGAAAAGGTGAAACAAACTGATTACAGCATTTGCACATTAAAATAATACTTATATTACTTGCACATTAAAGTTAACAAATATGTCTGCCATAATTTATATTAAATTAGAACTAAATTATATTCATTACTACATTGAACAACACATGTGTTCAATACCACTGAGGTTACTCAAGTGCAAACATCCAAATTACAAAGAGGATTCTACTTACATTGGTAAATCAAAAGACACATGGCGAACAGCTACCAAACACTCAATCCTGGTGTGGGTGTCACTACCCGATCTGTCCCCCTGCCCGATCTGTACTGCGCATGTGCGAGATGGTCCGCCATATTGGACAACTACATACGGCAACTCTAATAGGACACTTGACATAGTGGCTTTTGGCAAAGCAGAAAAAGAACCGAGAGAGATGAGTTATTGTTATTACAACGTGACTTCACTATTATTTAACAACTCTTTTTATTGGGTTCTTTTATTTGGGGTTAAATACATTGTCAGAATAAGTGAGAAATGGATTTAACTTCTGTTAGACAGCTATATGCCATACATGTTTGCATACATTCACAGTAAATATTTATTCAGTATGATAGCTGTCTAACAGAAGTTAAATCCATTTCTCACTTATTCTGACAATGTATTTAACCCCAAATAAAATAACCCTACACAGTGCCTCTTGTGGACAGGAGGGTTACACACATGCAATTTCTAACAATGATGAATGCATTTTTTTACTCACTAAAATACAGCAACACATCTTTGATTCACGTCGTTTATAACTGGACTATTACAATTATTATTAACTTTGTCTGTACAACGTAGCCTGCCCAGGAAATATGCTAAAATCAACAAAAACTGCGAGCCGGCACGCAAGACGCTCCGCTTCTGAAACGCACCCGGTGGGGTTTGACGCTGTAGGAGGTCGGAACAAAACCGCGGCGCAGCCGTAACGCGGCGCAGATGGACCCGGTGGAATCCCGGGGTAAGTTTGGATGCAGCTCTACTCCTTCCCTTCAGATTACCCCCTGAATCCTCTGTGATCATCTCCAGATTTTAGCGGGGATAACCGTTGTTTTGACCGCCATGTCAATCTTTTCAGCGCGATCCCTGGTGTAAATGCAGTTGCTGCGCTTAACGGCAATACATCAATAGCAAAAAACAAAATATCTCTCTACAAGTACATCTAGAGTTATAGAAATAAAGTAAGAGTAAAGTTTTACATTTGTAAGTTGAAAATAGCTAAAAACCTAGCACGAACGACTGCTACAAGCTACATGTACGATTGGTGCACTTCTACATATACTGTACTGCAGGGATCACCAACTACATTTGTCCAAGGGCCAAAATGTATCCAATAGACACTTTCGCGGGCCAGCGATTTTTATATATAGCCCAGAATTTTTAAGTTGTTGATGGGGAGGAGGGGGGGGGGGGGGGGGGTATATTATGGAGCGCATAAGGCTCTTCTGCTTAGCAGACTCTTCACGCGAACGAAAGATCACTTCTAGGCTAATGTCCCGCAGCTGCTGCCTCTCTGTTGGACTCTGTTGGGCAGACTCTTCACAACGAAGGATCACTTCTTCTTCAGGGCAGGGAAGGCTACGCAGTACGCAGTACGCAGTCTACTGTCCTGCAGCTGATGCCTCTCTGTTGGACTCCGGTACTGCACATTACTCACCCCCGTTGTGCGGGCCGGATCAGAATGTCTGGCGGGCCGGATGTGTTGATGGTCGCTGCTGTACTGTATGTACAGTGTATATTTGTATCAGATACTGTAGTTGAGATACATATTTTTATCGCGATATTCCCCATGCCCAAACCAAACAACCCCAGGATATTATTACTCAACATCACGTAACTTGCACATTCAGGCAGGCAGCATTCTCCAAACCAAAATTCTCATATCAGATTTCAGGTAGAAACATGTTGAAACCTGAAGAAAAGTAACATATTTGCGCATAGGAAGCTTTCCAAAACCCTGCCCCCGCCTCATTAGTGTCTGCTTAGAAACGTCTCTTTTTGTCCACCCTTCTTCTGATGTTGTCGTGTTTTTCTGTTCTTATGTCTTTGAGTATGGCTTTAATGCATTCTACTGTGTCCTCAGGTGTCCTGAAATACACTTGCACATAAAATGTACTAATATTATTTTTTGAACAGTATTTCTGGTGCTTTCTAAGGCTAATACATTGAAGTTATAACAAAGAACAACACTTTTGTATGCATGTTGTGCTTCTGTCCTTTTCTGTGTATTTGTTTAGCCTCCATCTCTCAGGCTTACCTGTGGATGCTGCTGATAGTAACACTTACACTTGGCAAATCTAAGCAGGCGGAATTTTGACAAGGTGCAAGAAACCATCCAATGATTGTGCCACGCTCGGAGTCAATTTAATCGACAGAGTACTGTATCAATGGCCTTGTGCTTTATTTCATGCGCTTGTTAGCAGTTGGTGCGGCTAAAGCATCTGACTCCACTAATTGAAAGAGGCATATGAATATTTATGGAGATATGCCTATTTAAATTATGTCACTTTCTGTTTTTTTCATGTGATCTAGAAGGTAGGTGTGGGCTGTCAAAACCACTTGATAGTTAATCGAGTAGGCAGTCTCTGTAATTAAGAACTTTTCCCTGTCAAAATCAATGAGCATAAGAATGAACAGAAACAAAAGGTCACATTCATCTCTCAAAT